ACAATTTCTAACATTAACTTTTTTTTATAATTGTTTCCATTAAACTTAACTTTCTTGGTTTTTGTTGTCATTATTAACATAAATTTAAAAATTTTTAAAAAAAAAAAAAAAAAAAAAAAAAACTTGACAAAAAAAAATTATCACTATGGGCTGGTATGCGTATACGGTAGATGGTACCACCAGTGGTGGGTTCTATTCGTTAAATATGTAATATATGTATGCTGTAAATTTGATTTTTTGTTGCGTCTTGTCTCTGATGCACTTGAAGTTGTATCAATCGTTGTTTGTAGGAGATTCTTGCTCTATCTTTTGGTATGTCTATCATCTCTAGCTGTCGATGCTTTCACTACACATCTTCAAAGTCATCGAAATCATCGAAATCGTCCTCATCGTCGTCTTCATCGTCCTCATCGTCCTCGGCAGCTTCCTTTTCTGCCAACTGGGCGTAGTAGGCGGTCAATGCATCTTGAGCTTCCTTCTCTTTGTCTGTCTTCACAGGGCCCGCTACTTCAGGACTAGCAACATCAGTAGCTGATTCCAACTTGACGTCGTTTTCATTCGTGGCTTCTGCATTGTTGCTATCATTCTTGTCCTCCTCCATTTTGACTTCTCCGCCTTCCAACTTAACTTCAGTCGCGGAATTGACAGCCTCCTCTCCATCCTCCAACTTGACAGCTAGTGTTCCTTCCGTACTATCTTCTTGCATCATGCTGTCATCATCCAATCTACCCAATCCTACCCCACCAACGGTACTTTCCGAGTGCCATGATGGTAAGGCATTCTGCTCCAACTTTTGTCTCCTGTCCTCCTTTGCTTGCTGTTCTCTTTCGTAGTTCTCATCGTTTGCAGTAATGGAAACATGCAAAGTGGCTTGAGATTTGGAAGAATTTGAAGGTTGAGCATACCTGACATTCGACCTTCTGGTAGGATTCAGCGAATATGAAGCTTGGGTGGTGGTTTGAGCAGGAATAGCCCGTTCCAAAGACGATTCGAACGTGTTGTCTTCAATGTAACTGTCATCAATTTTCTTCAAGTAGGTAATTATAGGGTCCACCTGTGCCATAAGTTTCTCCAATTTTGCCTGACGTATGGATGCCTGCTGACTGGAATCATCTTCGATTAATATGCCCCCACAGTTGTCACATACAAAGTTGGTCTTGTCATCCAGGAGTAACAGAATGGCATCCAACTGAGATACTTTTTTCCCACAGCGTGGACACACATACCCCTGCGGGTTACCATACTTGGACATTTCGTCCTTGATAATGCTTACGATAGAATGCACTTTCCATTTTATGGAATCAATTGCCTCTGTCACATGAATGTAGTAATACGTTCTTCGGGTGAGACGTTGTTGGGCATTCTCTTCCTGTTGCATATGACTCACCAACAATCTATCCTCCACGAGCTTGAAGCAGTAGGATCTCAACTCTTTTCTGTGGATACCTAAAAGCAGGATCAAATCTTCCTCTGAAAGAACCGAATGAAGAAGCAACGCATCAAGTATAAGGATATACGGTTGAGTGTAGAAACCTCTAGCTACAAAACGAATTAACGATCTGACGGTATCATCCATATTTCTGTTCGTCTAATATGGTCTGCTCGGAGGTAGTGGTAAATGATAACTCCAATGAAAAGCGACCAAAACTTGAAGATATCAGCTACTCCTGGGTTATAAGTGGTGCAGTTGCCTCTAGCCTGGGGATTTTCATTTGCGTCTTGATTTTCAATTTTCATATGGCGAAAAAAGAGCGATCACGTGATGGTGGTCAGGTGATCAGGGCATACCAACAGTGCTGGGGCCCCTCAGTGCAATGGGGTAGACGATAGCATTGGCACAAGGTATGCTACCAGTAAGTCGCAAAGAAAAGGGGACGCTCTATCACATGAGTGGCCATCTCCGCATTTCTATTCATCTTTCCCATTCCTCAGTTCTATTTTTGTCAAAATCTTATTTTCCAAAATACGGGGAAAGGGCCTCATTACACTTTAACTAAAATATAAATCTCGAGCTGTGAGTGAAGTGACCACACTCGTCCTTTGTCACAATCCACCATGCATCAAGAGCAGAAGAAAAAAAGAAAGAAGGAAAGAAAGAGGTGCATATTCAAAGAAGAAGCAATAATAGGGTTTTATTTTCTTTCCTTCTCTCCATCCCTTTTGTTCTATCTTCTGTCTCTTCTACACTAACAAACCCTTGCATGAGACACTCTTTTCTTAGCCATTCCTGGATTATTTTTTTTCTAAGCAGCACCCGCTGAGATATGCATGATGCTCCATTTAAGCTAATCCCATATCGCAATTAAATCTCAGTTTAACGCCCACTGCAGTCTATTTGGAACCTGTTTAAGCATGCGTGAACGGCTTGAATGCTGCTTGAGGGCATTGAACCTTCTGTATCCATGCATCACAGAATAAAATATAGGCTATCTCACAGCAGAGCAAGTGTAAAGAAGAAGGTTATTCACGAAACGCGCTTTTTCGTGATTCGCGTTTTTCTTTGTTTAGTTTTCCCCCTAAGTAGTCATTGACTTACCTACTATAGACACAAAGTGCAGAGCCATACATCTAATATGAATGGTGTTTCACTGGAGTGTTAGTATTACATATCACTTTTACTTGTACTATTACGCGTATAGTCTTCCCTTTGATAACGCGTTAAAATTTTTTTCTTTCTTTTTTTTTTTAAAAAGGATTACTAGTGTTACTTAACTCAAGGTACTCCCAGTTAAGCTTTTTATATAATTAATTTGATTCATAAAAGGGATAATTATTAATAAAAAAGTAGACAAAGCTAAAATAAGAAGATACATTATTAACATCTACATCAACTCCAAGTAGATTAAGATATCAAGGAACTCCAAATAAAGTTCGAAAAGTGTTTATTACATCAACTAAAGACAGAGTAGAATTTACAAACAGGAGAGAAAATTACGATCAAGTTTAACCAAAATCAGAAACTGACCAGAACCAACTTGTAAACCTCGAACAACTACGTATCCACCCCTCCCCTTCCTCCACCCCATTACCATGTCGTTACATAGAGTTCCCCTTCAGGAGTACTCCAATACGTACAATCAACTCACAGAAACACCAACTTCCAAGTCTAATTTACAGAACTCGTCAATCACTACGCCACCAGAAACTTCCACTCAATTCAGAAAGAAGAGATTATCTATTGAAACACCTATTAGCAAGAATAACGACGGATCTGGGATGCTTTCCAATTCACTCTTGTTGTCGCCAGCCTTCCTGTCGCCTCAGCAGCATAGACAACCACAGCCAAGCCAGTTGCACCACGTCCAATACCAACAACCACAATTCCAGTACGATTCAGCTCCAAACCACATATTTGGAAATTCTCACTTGATGGTGCCCCCTTCCTCCACGTCTATTCCACAGCCTCATCAGCATCTACACTACAATCCGCTTGAGATCGTGCCTCCTCCAAAGCCTTCCTTCCAGAACAACCACGAGTCAATTTCTATTTCTGCGAACCCTGCCTCCAATACTAGCAGTATCAGCACAACCAGCAGTAATCCACCGGCAAAGAAGAAGGCCAAGAAGTCAAGAAAGGACTCAAAAGATTCACCATTCAATCTTGACTCCGACGATAAACCTCCGTACTCCTATGCCACCTTGATTGGAATGTCTATCATGAGTAACCCAGACAAAAAGTTGACATTGTCCCAGATTTACCAATGGATCTCAGATACCTTCAAGTATTACAAGAGTGGAGAGGTAGGGTGGCAGAACTCCATTCGTCACAACTTATCTCTTAACAAGGCGTTCCTCAAGGGAGAAAAGTCCAAGGATGGGAAAGGTCATTTCTGGTTTATTCAAGAAGGTTGCGAAGAGCAATTCTTGAAGTCCAGAAGTAGTAAGAAACAACTGTATCAAGAGATTATTGATCACATATCGAACAAGGCTCCATCAACAGCTTTTAGAAGTTCATCTTCTACTTCTGCAGGAGTTCAAGGAAAGTCTTCTATGAACTCTCTTCCATCGTCTCCAAATATGTCACATCATGATTCAGCAGAAGAAGACACAAAGCCAACCAAGAAAAGAAGAACTTTAGAAGGCGCCGCAGACTATCACAGTGAATACTCCCAACAAGATGAAGATGAAGTCGAAGAAGATGCAAATGCCACTAGGGAAGACATTGAAGATCAGGATCAAGAAAACAATGGCCCCTCAGGAAAAAGGGTAAAGTTAACCACCACCAACATTCTCGACCCAATTGAAAATTTGGGTGCGCCATTCTTACAGTGGACTAATAATAGCAATGCTTTTGGTAACAGAATGATGAACCATCATAATGCTAATGAGAATGACAATGATATGCAGGGATCTAACAGTAGTGGCAACGTTCATGCCATAACTGGAATTTCTGACACTCCACATTTCATATTTACAGAGTCTCCCAACAAGCCTTTGTTAGCTGGAAAGAACTTGACCTATACGTCATCCTTCAGCTGTAATTCGAATCTTGAGCTTTCTCCAATTAGACCAAGTGAAACCGGACCATTGTTGGAACCATTAACTCCTGTAAACAATATTTACAAGAGAATGCCGATTTCAAACGAGAGTCATCCAATCAGCCAATTGAATGCAAACTTGGCCTACCATGTGAACCATTCTACACAATCCAAATCATCGAACCAGCATCAAGTACCTTTCATATCTTTGTCGCAGTCACCTATAATCCAGTCACCATTCCATTCTAAGATTCAATTGCTTCAAGCACCTAATAATCAGCACCAATCTCAACAATCTCAACACCAGCAACTTGGATCTCTTCAGCCACTGCAACACCAACACCAGCAGCAGTTGAATATTAACTCCAATCACATTCATCTCCCACAGCCTCCTGTTTACATAACGAAGACACCAAAGAGTAGCATTAAGACTCCTTTAAGAAATTTGAGGTCTCCACAGACTTCGTCGATTCTCAAGAAGTTGTGTTACTCTCCTTCTTATATTGACGATTTCTATTACTCACCATTAGTGTCATCCTCCCATGGAGTGTTAAACTCCTACGATGATGACGATTTGGTGTCTAGAGCGTTTGAGTCACCAGCTGCGAAAAGGTTACACGCAACTATGAGTAGCTCAAGGAAATTGTTTGGAGAGTTGAAGAACGTTGAGTTGATCACGACTAATGAAAAGGAAACGACAAGTTCAATAAAGGAAGATGAAAAATGATATTAATTTGGTTTGATAGATATAGCGGTAGGTTTCTTAAATTGGGATTATTTTAATTTTTGGGTTAATTATTTGTATATTAGGGGAAATGGATAGATGTGAGCTCTGTTTAAGACTCGTCTATTCCATATACATATACATATATGTATGTATATGTTAATTTTTAGTTTAATTGTATTACTATATTTGATTTGTTACCATGATTTGTAATTTGCTGCTCTTGATATAGGAGACCTAATCAGCAGAGGAGCATCCCTTGCACCCACAGGTTATACACTCTACCTTCTCCTCTTGGTTGTTCTTAATTAAAGTCGCCTTCGGCACTCTGCAAATACAAGTGTTTCCATGGTTCTTCTCTTTGGTAACAATGCACTGGACACAGCATAAATTTTCATAGCCTGTTTTCTTCCATTTGGCAATCAAATCACCATCAACATATTTTTGCTTTAATAGATATTCGTATAATTCTTTGGATATTAACTTCTTCTTGTAGTAGATTGTATACACATACCGAGAAATTTGGTGGTTTATTTGTATTATTGGCCATAATGAGTTGTGCTTGTCTTCTGACTTCATCGACTTAGTTTGAGCTGCTTTGAGCTTAGCTAAGAGCTTAGTGATGGTTGGTTCTATTTTGTCATAGCCTTCAGGAGGTATTTGAGAGCGCTTGGATGACCTTATGCGAGGCATAATGATCAGATACAAGAAAAGCTTCTTAAAGGATGTAAAAAGAGGTCCAACAGAGACCTTTAATGAGCTTAAAGAGGAGCACCGATAGAGATGAGATAATGTAAACAGTGCAACCTGCAAAAAAAATATCGACATCAGCAGGATTCGAACCTGCGCGGGAAATCCCAACGCATCACTCAAAAGATTCGAGTGCGTCGCCTTAACCACTCGGCCACAATGCCTAATATAAATGATTTTTATTATTCGCCCACTGGACCGGACACGAGCAATGATGAGGTGAGGTAGGGTTGGTGTGGAAAGTCAAGTTACTGGATAAAGAAGAGGGTATTAAGTTGATTGTATCCTATGGTACAGACATCTAGTATATGATAGGATACTTGTGATGTGAGCAGTAAGCTTTTGTGCTGTGTGCATATAATGAATTGGAGACAGTGGTGTGTATCCGATGATTTTATCTCAGTATTGCAAACTGCGTATGGGTTTTTATATATTTGTGGACATTCACAAGGTACAAACAAACCCTATATAAAGATGTTCGAAGAATGGTTTCAATTATTTTAGTTTCTTTTCCGATTTCTTTGTTCTATTCATTTCCTTTTTCTAGTCGGTCTTTTCTTCACAACCCTACCTTTTCATTTGCTAAAGTAAGACCGATGCCCATCGAGCTTGTCCTTTCACCTGTCATGAGACCATTGGTCATGGCAAAAGCAGTATTGTTTCATCCACATCGTAGGGCATCCCGTTATGTCCCCAATATAGTTGATATGTCTGCCGAAAACACCTCTACATATGCTGTATTGCATAGGTTCGGTTCAGGTTCGAAGATATTTGACGTTTTTGATACCGAAAATGGATCTTTACCATTGGGTGCAAATGACCCGGGTAAGAAACTTTTTTGGTTTGTTAGATCTAGAGCTGTCAAAGGAGCTTACAAAATGTATTCTTCAGCAATCACCGGTACAGGAGAAAACGGTGAAGATGAACCTTGTGCAGCGATTAGAGCAGGTTTGCGTTCAAACGTGCTTCTAATCAGAGCGCCAGACGTCCCAGCTGCTGAGCTTGGATGGCATATCATCAGCCACAGAGTGGATGCAAACGATAGTTATCGTATGTTCACTTTAGCTGATGGCTTCACCTATCAATGGACAAGTAAGGGTAGATGGTTAGAGAAGGTTTATAACTTGGGAGAGAAGGAATCCGAAGTTAGAGAAAGGATTGCACAAGTTATTCCAAACGGAATCAATGGATTCACATTGGTAGTTGATGAGACTAAAATCCCTCGAGAATTGGCATTGGGGTCTGCATTGTGTTCGCATATCGATCAGTGGAATACTAATATCGAAGTAGGTGGTATTTATTATGCTAGACAACCGGGTCAAGTCAGATGGAAGAGAGATTAAGTAGGTTGAAAGTATGTGTAACGGATTTTGCTGGTAGGTTTGAAATTCATAGGCAGAACATCATAAATATTGAACAGGTGCATTAATTAGCGTAGGCATGACTTGTAAGCATAGTATTAAATCAGCATCACTTTAGCACAATTTTAGCCTAACGAGCATCACATCAGCGTAACTAACCATCAAAGCAACCGAACCTCGACCTTATCAAATGGGTGCAAATTTCAAGCTAGTGAGCCAAAAAAAAAAAAAAAAAAAAAAAAAAAAAAATATGGGGCTCATTTAGTAGCCCAAAACGGAATAATCCACACTAGCTAAGTTAGGGCCCTTCTACAACAGAGCCCTTTGCTTCAGCAAGTGCAACCATCTTTCCTTTATTTTTTCTCAGTAATCCCCAAAAAACTTCATCCAGTCGGCCAAATTGACTCCAAATGCAACACTATACCGGATATTGCACTCCAGCTTCATGGTCCTGCTCCATCTAGCTCTCCTCCTCTCTCGGTTCCACACGTTCTTCACTCCTGTCAAAACGGCCTGCACACACTCCCACACTTGGCCCCCATCGAGGAAAATTAAATTTTCTCTAGCAAATCGCAAAAACTTCAGCGGTTGCGTTTGAAAATTTGGAGGGCTACTCTTCTTCTTCTTCTTCTTCTTTCTTTCTTGTATACTAATCAATCAGAAAACACAATATATAATGTCTGAACCAAGCAAGATTTTCGTTAGACCATTAGGTTACGAAGGTATGTACAAAATTGGGACCGACAGGTCAATATAATGGCATGAACTCATGGGTTGTCGAATGTTTCGTTCTAGATGCCTCTTCTTTGCTCATCTGCGTGAAAAATAAACAGCACAACAAAGCACATCAGTACAGTCGTTTTATTTTTTACTTATCTCTTAATGCTGTTGGGAACCTAGTGTTCTTCACTATTTCTTTCTTTTACTAACAATCCTTTAGCCGAACAAGAACAAGTTGAAGCCCATTTCCGTGAAATTGGACCTCTTGTTGAAGTCCAAATGATGAGAGGATTTGCCTTTGTCACTTACGAAAACCCAGAAGACGCCAAGAAGGCTGTTGAAACTTTGGAAAACACCGATTTCCAAGGTCAACAATTGCAGGTTGAATTTGCACGTGAAAAGAAGGAAGACACCCGTGGTTTATACAGAGTTAAGATCAACAACATTCCAGAAGGTACCGCATGGCAAGACTTTAAGGATTTCGTCAGAGACAAGACTGAATTCGCCCCAACTTTTGCCAAGGTCTACAAGGATTACGATTCTGGTGAAACCATTGGTAACTTAGAATTCTCCTCTGCTGATGAATTAACCACTGCTGTTTCCTTATTAAACGAAGCCGAATTCCAAGGTGCTACTTTAGCTGCTGAAGAAGATACTTCTCCATTCGTCCCACCTCCTCCAAGAAGAGGTGGATTCGGTGGCCGTGGTGGTTTCAGAGGTGGTAGAGGTGACTTCGGTGGCCGTGGTGGTTTCAGAGGTGGTAGAGGTGACTTCGGTGGCCGTGGTGGCTTCAGAGGTGGTAGAGGTGACTTCGGTGGTCGTGGTGGCTTCAGAGGTGGCAGAGGTGACTTCGGTGGCCGTGGTGGCTTCAGAGGTGGAAGAGGTGGATTCAGAGATGGTGACAACTTCAGAGGCGGTAGAGGTGGATTCAGAGGTGGTAGAGGTGACTATGACCGTGAAGACAGAGGTGACAGAGGTGGATTCGAAAGAGATTCATACAGCCGTGACAGATCTCCATCAAGATACTAATCGATTTTCTTCTTTCAGTTTGAACTGTGTTTGAGATGGAAATGGGAAGGAAAGGAAAGAGAAGGAATATGCGCCTCATTTAAATTAATGAGATGAGACGTTAACCTTTGTTTGTTTAAATTTTAAATTTTGGTTTCTAAAGGGTATGTATATTTTTTTTTTGTCAGAAAAAGAATGAAGAAAGATATAGAAGAAGAAAGAGAAAAGAGAAAAGAGAAAGAAAGAAAGAAAGAAAAAAAAGAGAACGTGAAGAAGCAAGAGGAATGTCTTCTTCTTCTTCTCACTGTATTGTTTGTTATTTTATTATAATTATGAGATGGAAAATCAGTTGTAAAGAATTTTTATTTTTAAAAGAAAACTTGTAATTGTGGATCTATGTGGATTATCAAAAAATGTAAAGGAAAGTGTAAGGGAACAGAATATCAATTCGATAGAATCAAAATGTTTGTATTATATTTAATATTTTGCTACTGGTTAGCGCTATTATTTCATGACTAATGAAGATTAGAAGGTTTTATAGATTTAGAGAAATAAAGTTTATCAAATTTTCAGATATCAGAATCTCCAACTAGAAAAATTCAAAATTTTTCACTCTATGGATTTTTTCATCTTGAGTGCGTCTGGTGGTCCAGCTAAAGGACCTTTTCATTCAGTTCGCTTTTTAGAGTTGGTCAATTCTAGTTTTTCTTTGATTTTCTTGTCACTTTCATATATTCGGTGCTGTTGGGATGACTGAATCGTTCGGAAGCGACCCGCTTCAAACAGTTAAGGTGTTTAGATACGACGAGGCTAATAATGTAGGCGTTATCTTTATTCACGGTGGAGCCTGGAGGGACCCCAACAATACATACGATGATTTCAAGGAATTTGCCAGTTATGCGGAAGCGAATTACCCACTGCTTAACCTCTTTGGTGTGAACTACAGACTTTCCCCCAATGTCAAACATCCGGGCCATTTGCAGGACATTTCAGAGAGCGTGGAGTATTTGAAGAAGACTTACGATTTGACTGATATAGTCCTTGTAGGGCATTCTGTGGGGGCTACGCTCATTTTGCAATATATTAGGAGGACAGAAGCCGCTGAAGGTGTGCGTATTAGCAATTGCTATCTTATAGATGGGATATTTGATATCCCAGAGTTGGTCAGTGAATATCCTGGCTATGCATCATTTGTAAACGAAGCATTTACGTCGGAAAAGCAATATTCAGAGGCTACTGATATATATGATGCCAGGTTCAGTGGCATTGGCCATATATACATAATCCAATCGCTCCAGGATGAGCTATTGTCCGAGCGTCAAACAGACTTGTTGGCTGGGTATTTGGCGAACACCTCAACAAAGTTCTTGGTTCAAAAGGGCAATTGGGGGTTACACGAGGAAGTATATAGAAGAAAGGAAGTGTTTGACCTAGTATTGGGTACCATTGGTACAGCACCATGAAAGACTCCTAAGGCAAGGCACAAAGTAAACAGTAGATGATCAATACATGCAGGATCGAATAATCGATATGTATAAGTCCATAGAGAAGAAGAGAGAAGAAGTGAAGCAGTGAGCAGAGCAGCAGCAACGACGACAGCAAGTAATTTCCCGTTCGAAACTGATAGCATCCTTCCTCTGAATCTTATACCGAGATAAAAATAAGCTCTCTATAGTTCCGCCTTATCTCCCATATCCGTTGTAAGATCCCAACTCGAACCCTGGGCCACTAGCCTTGCGCAGCCTTCCCGTCCCCCAGCGCTCTCGCTAATTTTTCACACCCACCTATTTCAAAGGTCGTGCACCGACCACCTACTGAAAAATTTATCGAAGATCAAACAAAAAAAATGAAACACCCTAAGCTTCATTACTAACGTTTAGAACTGTAACTTACACCAACATAACCGCTTTAATAAAGACCTTAGCATTTCCTTGAAGTATGTCGTCAGTTATTAAGTCGTGGGCCGATGCCGAGGATGAAATTCCGCAACCAGAAGTCACCACAAATCCAGATGGTACCAAAACAGTCATCTCATACAGATTAAATACCAAGGGACAGAAGGTTAAAATAACCCAAAAGATCAAAGAAGTCAAAGTACAAGAAAGAGTCCATCCCCTGATTGCTATTCGTAAAAACTGGAGTAAATATGGTAAAGAAAAGAACACGCCACCGGGCCCAGACACAAGAACTACTCAATTAGGAGAAATAGTAGAGTTGAATTTGGGTACCTCTTGGAAGGAAGTTGAAAAGCAAGAAGAAGAAGCTCAAGAAGAAAAGAAATTACAGAACGTTCAAAGAATCAAATGTAGAATTTGTGGAGGTGAACATTTCACATCCAAGTGTCCATTTAAGGATACTTTGGGAGCCGAAGCTGCAGCCAATGAGTTGGCCAACGCTGAAGCTGCTGCTGCACAAGATGGTGGCGATGATGGTTCAATGCAAAACGGTAAGTATGTTCCAAGACACATGAGAAGAGATGCCAGCGGTAACTTGCCAGTACAGCAAGGAAGAGACGACTCTACCACTTTAAGAGTATCACAATTGAACAATATTGTTGATGAAGATATGTTAAGAAACGAATTGTTTGCGAGATACGGACCATTGCAAAGAGTTACTGTGGTTAGAGATAGGGACACTGGAGATTCCAGAGGTTTTGCATACGTTGCCTTTGCCTCCGAGGGTTTGGCCGAACAAGCATTGAACGAGTTGAACGGAAAGGGTTACCATTCTTTGATTTTACACTTGGAATGGTCTAAGAAGAAGAAATAAGTGGAAAGAGAAGAAGGAGAGTATCCATATGAAGAAAGGAAGAGGTATAAAACGAACAGAGAAGTGATATTTAGGACGGACCAGTTATGGCAATATAGGCGACGCAAGGCGATTATATAGTAGCACTTAATGTACACATCAATAGAGCAGCATGTAGAAGCGTAATAAGGGCCGAGAAGGATGCAAATGTGAATGAGTGGGGTTCAAGCTAGAAGCCAGACACATTTCATTCGCTTCATTTTATTGTGAGTGCCAAACACAGGAGAGAAGAGATAACTGAAGAGGGACAAAGTACTGACACTGTGGAATAATCATAGAGCAGTCCAGTAGAGCAGTCCAGTACAGCAATCCAATAGAGCAGTCCAGTACAGCAATCCAATAGAGCAGTCCAATAGAGCAGTCCAGTAGACAGCAATAGGAATTCGTATGAATACAAGGAAATGATAAAGCTAAAAGTGTTGTGCTGTAGAAATTAGTTTTGTAGCAATAAGGAAAGCATAGAGAAGTAGAGTAGCAATGTAGTAGGCATAGAGCAATAGGGTAGCCGTGTAGTAGCCATGCAGTAGGCATAGAGCAATAGGGTAGCCGTGTAGTAGC